GAAGGATGTCATGCTTGGTAGGGTGGAGGGTCGACGAAAGAGGGGGAGGCCTTCAACGAGATGGATTGATACGGTGGCTGCGATGATGGGATCAAGTATAGCAGGGATTGTGGGGCTGGCGCGGGATCAGGCAGTGTTTCGTTGTGCTGTGCATGGGGTCGCTATGAGTCGGAAACGACTCGACGGCACTTAACAACAACAACAACACATCAGAAAAAAAAAAAGCATTGACCCATGTCACTTAAAAAAAAAAGAATAGAAAGGAGGAAAGTTTTGCAGAACAAGCTCTAAGGAGGGAATATTCAGGCCTTAAAGTCCTGGCTATGGCTCCTGGGGAGAGATAAGGCAAGGATGTCCCAGAAAGTTCTGATAATTTCCAAAAGGATCCGCTGTCAAGTTTTAAACAATTGGTGGGTGGTACTGATAGAGGTGATAACATCTCTTCCTTTCCACTAATTTCCACTGTCTCTATTAACAAAAGTCTGACCCAGTGTGATCCTGTAGTTGTTTCTTCAAACTCACCCTCCATGAAGTAATTGACAGTATGCTCCTTTAAGCCTTCTTCCACTCCCAAGAAGCCCAACCTCAGGCCCAGAAATCCTACTTATGTCCTACAACTCAAGCTGAGTAGGGTAGGCCTCCCTCTGCAACTTTTGACCCCTGATGATCCTGATTTCTCCAACTGACCTTGGACCTTCAGCCAGCCCACTCTTGGAGCCCTATAGATGGTTCTCCATGCAGCAGAGAGAAGCCCAGAAAAGACAATTCATTTATTACTTTATTCAGGAAAAAATTAATTAATTATCTATTATGTGGCAAGAGTGCTGTTAGGTACTAGGGCTACAACAGTGATCAAGACAGTCAGGGTCCCTGCTCTAATGGAGAGACAGACATTAAACAAAAAGTTGTTAGCTTGTTCTTGTTAGCTGCCATCAAGTCAGCCCTGCCTCATGGGGACCTGCTTGAACAATCTCTCTTAGAAAGTTCAGCACAAGGCCAGTCCCCATGAGGCAGAGGTTAAAGATGTCCAAAATGTCCAAACTACCATGCCACTCCATCATTTTAACTCCACCTCCTCCTCCCAGTAATTTCCCCCTTCTTAGGGTTCTGTATTTCGCTATAATGCCTCACAGAACTCACAGACACCCAAGGAATCGTCTCACATAGTAGTGGTGGAAGCTGGCAGGCTGGCGAGTCCCAGGTCCGTAAGTGGGTCTGGAGGATCCTCCCAATTCTCGGGGTTTGATGAACCTTGATCAGCAGATCAGATGATGGCTGCTGTCCCAAATCCAGCGGTGAGATGAGGATGAGCCACAACACAAAACCAGAGCAAAAGGAGGGCGAACCTTCCCATGAGATTCGCAGGTATACCCTCAAGGAAGCTAAGGGTGGTGATTTGAATTACACCCTCCAGCAAGGCAGAAATCAAGATACATTCCACCTGTGTTGCTCTGACAGAAATAACCCAAGTAGATGGCTTTAACAATCAGCAGCTCAAGGCAAATTCCACCACAGAGCCGACTGCCGTCATTATAGGAAATGACTACTACCAGCTGTCCAGCCAAGTTGACACCAGACCTTAACTACCACACCACCCCAAACAGGCATGGATAATAGGATTTACAATACATCACAGAATGAAGGACAATGGCTAGAAGGGCCACATCAAGCAATTTACCGCAGGACCCCATTGTGAATCATAGGGTTTTCACTGGCTAATTTTCCGTAGATCACCAAGGCTTTCTTCCTAGTTCATCTTAGTCTGGAAGCTCTGCTGAACCTGTTCACATCATAGCAACATGCAAGCTTCCAATTACAGATGGGTAGTGACTGCACTTGAAGTGCATTGGCTGGGAACAAAGCCTAAGTCTCCCACATGGAAGGTAAGAATTCTACCACTGAACTACCACTTCCCTCTAAACAAATAACTAAAAAGTGATACATCTATTCTAGACTCAATATTCAGTGATACATGTAACAAAGCAATCCAAGACTACTGGACATGAGAAGTAGGAGATGGGAGAAAGGGGATCTCTGTGACACAATCCCCCAAGAGTTCCAGCTTTATACCAAGCGGAGCCTCACTCATTCATCCTCTCAGCTTGGCTATCCCCTTGACAAAAGTTACAGCTTAGGACATGGCTTTCAACTATCCCTTATGATGTCTTTGCCCTGCCCACATCTCTGTAAACTCTCCTTAATTACATTTGTGTTTGCCATCTATTTCCTGCCAAAACCAGGACTGATATAGGCCTACATGAAAAGACTGTGGGCAAGGTTAAGGAAATAAAGAAAGGAAGTTGAAACATCTAGGTTCTAGCAACAGCAGGAAACCATTATTTCCAGGCCTAAGGAGGCAGAGGGAGGAAATCATGTTATTATAGCTTAGTTGTGGGCTGGAGTCATGGAAGAGAGACCACATACCAGAATCTTTGTCATATAAACACCCAGCCACTGTCAGAACTGTGACAAGAAGGAAATAAGAGCAATAAATACTCCAATGAGTGTATTAATCTCGATTTCTATCTTTTCCTACCCTCCAATCTTCCATTGGCTAAACCCAATCTGAAACCAAACCCAACTATTACTTAGATGATAAAGTTCATAGAGGTCAGCCTTCTAGGGTACAGATTAGGAAAAAGAAAGACTGATGTGACGCAAATGAAAAGTAACAAGCCAATCATCCCTCACTGTCAAGAGTGCCTTAAAAAGAAAGTAGATATCTTTATAATTTATTACATGGAGTATATATTATTTGAATAGTAAGTTTTTTTGTTTTTTAAGATAGGGCAGATAGACCAACACACCACTTTGCATGTAGAAAACAACTTAACAACAACTTTCATTGGTAGGATTTGCCATGGGTTGTTAGAGGGCCAACTTGCCTGAACAGGCTACTTGAGAATCTCAGGGCACAGCCCATTGTGAGGAAACATGGTATGACTCTGTGATTCTAGAATTCCCAGAAGCTCTAATTCAGCATTGGGAGCTTCTGCTCACAGTTTTGTTCAGGGTTCTCAGGTGTCCAACACCAGGGCTCCCACTTTCCTTTAACCCAAATGAAGTTTCTCTTTCTAATTTGCCTGCTTGGATCTGCCAGAGGTGAGTCCTCTATTTAGCTTCTAGGTGGATATATTAGTGGCTTCCTTAAAAGTGTTTCAGCCCTTGGAGAAGAAATACCAGTCTCTTAGTTACCCAAACCAATCTAACTCAGAATCAGGAATAGCTAAGCAAGCCCACCTCTGAGAGCTCCTGAACCAGCTGATTCCTCCTAATTGTGGCTTTACAGTCAGAGATGCCCACTGGCCTGGCACAGTTCTTTCAGCCATTTAACATTTGTGTCTGATGCTCTGTGACATAAGAGGAAAGGCCTAGGGGTTCTTTTGAAGTCCAGTGAAGGTTTGTCCCAACAAGCTGAATGCAAGGGATCTTCGTGTAATTAACATGCCAAGAAATGATATAAGGGGATGTGCCCAGAAGGCCACCTAATGAATAAACACAGCAGGGCCATGGGCCAGACCCCTTACAAGCCTCTCCTTTGTGACTATGTTCCATCTATTCTGCTATCTTATATCTCCTCTTTCAGGATCCCCCCATCCTGGTAGGGTGTATTCTTTCCTGACTCTTACAGAAGAAAAGAGAGGCCATGAGCTGTCCATCAGATGACAAAGTCTTTGTTTTCTCCTGTGGGCTCCCAGAGATTTTATGATTGTTAGACTTTCAAAACTTGACCCACAAATGTAGCTACACAGCCAACCAATGGTAGCATGTGCCAGTCATGTAGTAAAGCAGTGAATCATAAACTGTAACAATGGCAAAGAAAAAGCTTCTTTTCTATCAGAAAAAAAAAAAAAAAAGTCTCTTTATTAAAACATTAATTATTGAAGAATCAGTCAGGCAGATATTTCTGGAACAACTTTTTTAAATAAAAACCTTATTAAAGCTTATCTTTCTTTATCAACATATTTTAACCCTGGTCTTTTAGAAAGACGTTGATTACAAGGTTTGTGATGTGCCCAGAAATATGTCTGTTGCAGGACTCTTACAAGCTAGACCTCAGCCTCTAAGATCCTGCAGTTCCTCTCTCAGTTTTTGGCTAGGATTACTAACTTACTTACTATAGTACACTTACTCTCCTCTAAGTTGCTCAATCTAATGAAAGGGAAATAATCAAATTATTTGGTGCTTCCATTCAATTAAAATGAAAGTCATACTGAAGAAATATTTGTCTGACAATCATTGATGGGGTGGATTAACGGTAAAAAAGACTAACTAGAAGAGAATGACCAGCTACAAATTTTCTAAAATTAATTGAGCATCTGCACTAAACTAGGCACTTTACAATTTGTCTTACCGAATACTCATGACAACTCCCTGAAGTGGGTGTAAAAGGTATGTCTCAAGAAAGCTCAACTCAAATATACATAAGCAAAGAATTTTTTTTCTGAATAATTGATAGCAACTTTGTTTTCTAAATCCCAACCCAAATGGATTAGGAGTTGAGTCTGAGAAAGACCTTGCCAAATAAAAGTATTTTAATCCCTTCTGATAATTCTTCTGGGCTTATTAGGTGTTTATTATAGTCCTCTTCTAGATTAAGATTTATTCATGTCCAAAGATTAAAATCTTATAACATCCCCTCAGATCAGAATTACTCAGCTATTGAAAACTACTTGCTTTCTCTCTACCTGTTCTATTGCCATTCTTCTTCAGTGATTTCCCCATAGATAAACTACAGGGAGAATTGGAGGTGGATTTCTGATCGTAGGAGTGGTAGTACATTGATTCCTGATGCTGGTTTTGCCAGGGGAACATATTCATTTCCCTTCAACTATTTTTTTGAGAGCAGGTGGGTAAGTTTTTAATATTGTAGATCTCAGTAGTCTCCCCTTCAATCCCTGCAGTGGTCCATATGTGTTTCATTAACATCTCTGTCCTTCATGGTATCTTGAGGTAAGGATTTGAATTCCCTCAACATCTGCACTATCTTCAGGGCTATCTAGGCCCACAAGGAATCTAGGAATCCCACATTAGCCTCATTTGCTAGGAAACCAGTCTTTACTCCTGATATTCTTTCACCTTCAATATCTCTCTTCTTTTCCTTCTCTATCCTAGGAGCATCAGGTCAACCTGATGAGACTCTTGGCTCTATCGATCATCAAGCTTCAATTGAAAAGCAACTTTCAGGTGAGTACTTTTCACGTGGAAACCCATCAGATGCCGAGGCTTTATACGAGTCCACTTCAGGTGAGCACTCTTTAAGTGAGCACTCTTCAAGTGCGCATTCTTCCAGTGAGAGCACAAGTGAGCAAGCTTCTGGTGAACAGCCTTTGGCTGAACAATCTTCTGGTGAAAAGCCTTCAGTTGAAAAGCCTTTGGCTGAAAAAGCTTCTGGAGCAAAGGCTTCAGGTGAAAAACCTTCTGGGGAAAAGGTTTCAGGTGACAAAGCTTCTGGGGAAAAGGCTTCTGGGGAAAAGGCTTCAGGGGACAAAGCTTCTGGAGAAAAGGCTTCAGGAGAAAAGGCTTTGGGTGAAAAGTCTTCAGGTGAACAACCATCAGGTGAAAAGTCATCTAGTGAAAAGCCTTCTGGTGAACAGGCTTCAAGTGAAAAGTCTTCAGTTGAACAGGCTTCAGGTGAAAAACTTTCAGGTGAAAAGGTTTCAAGTGAACAATCTTCAGGTGACCAGGCTTTGGCTGAAAAGCCATCAGTAGAAAAGCCTTCAGATGAAAAGCCTTCAGGTGATAAGTCTTCAAGTGAACAGCCTTCAAGTGAACCATCTTCTGGTGAACAGTTTTCCAGTGAAAAGCCTTCCAGTGAACCACCTTTGGGCACACTATCTTCAATCACACCATCTTCAGGTGAGCCACATTTAGATGAGTACTAGTCCTGGACTTGAGGTGTGAAGTGGGGAGCACTTCAAGAATTTTACCAGAAATGAGTATGTTGTAACCAGGCTACTTATTTTGCCCATCGTCCCTTCCCAGATGTATAATTCAAGGTTACACACTTGATTCATTAGGGAATTTCATCAGGCTAATCTTAAATTTTCAGGCACAGGATTAAATTGCCATACATGCTCTTACATGAACGAGCAAGGAAAATGTCTTCGTGGAGAAGGAGTCTGCATCACTCAGAATTCCCAGCAGTGCATGTTAAAGAAGATCTTTGAAGGTATGTGGGGACTTCGGAGACAATCTGCCAAAGAACACATCAACCAACTTGAGCACTGATTAGGGCAGAAGGATGGTAGGGGCTTGGAGAGAGATCAAGTTGTGATTCCCTAGGAACTTGGAAATTGAGGAGAATTTTATTCTTTCAAGAATTAAGAGTAGAATCTCAGCTACTTGTTGAGTAGTAAAGCCCCTCTGCAGACCCAAGACTTCTCAAAAAGAGGTAACTGACAGAAATATAGTCACAAGTCAGCAAAATTCTGCATCTAGGTTCTCTCTGGTCTCAGTCATCCTTGTAACAAAAGGTCTTAGCAACCATGGAGTTCACAGGGTGAGAATGGATGATAGGGTAAGACACTGAAACCATTGAGGCTGGGTGGAGGGGGGATAAATGGGCTCTAGGACTGGTATATTTGTGAAGGTTAGGATGAAGAAGGGAGTTTCACAGCCAGGTGAGACTCCCTACCTATTAAAGAAATGTGGACTGTGACTATTTTGTTCATGGCTATATATCCCTAGTACCTATCACAAAGTCCACTAACTCATTGCCATCAAGTGAGATCCGACTCATAGCAACCCCTCCTTGAGTTTCTGAGGTGGTATCACTATGGAAGTAGATTGCCCAACCTTCCTTCTGAGGAGTGGCTTGTGGGTTTGAACCACTAGACTTCTGGTTAGCAGTCAAATGCCTTAGGCACTACACCACCAGAGCTCCTCCTACAAAGTCCACTATCTGGTAAATATTGAAAAAAATGAATAAACTAATAATTATTTACAAGTCTTATGTCTCAGTATAGTCCTACATCTTTCTACACTTACACTCACTCCTCATCTCTGAAAATAAAGGATCTTGATTATGTCCATGATTCCCCTGTGGTCTATCTGGTACCTCATTAGAAATACCATTTTTCCCACATTTCTACATGCGTGCACATTCACCCACCACCAACCAATAAACATTAATCGCACATATTACGAGCCCTTACAGAAAGAGGAATAGATACAGACTGTGTACAAAGAGATTATGCAGGGCTTTGAACCATTTCATTCTGGTTCCACCTCCTGTGAAGAATCTGCATTTTCATCCCAGACATACTGACTGAGACTCTACACTTTAACATGATCCCCAGTTGATTCTTAGAGATTCTTCTAGCTCTCCAGGTGATTCAGTATATCTGGGGTGGAAATGCAAATTCTCAGCAAAGCGTCAAACAGGAATGAATGGTCAGATGCTCTGAGATTATCGTCTTATATAAAAAAGAGATAACATATGAAAAGAAGAAAGTGGTAAGGTATCATTAGAATGGCACACACAAAATGTTGGGAGTTCAGGAGAAGAAAAGCTTAGAGACTGAGAAAAGCCTAAAGATGTGGTGGTATTCAGAAAAGACTTTAGAATAACATGTCATATTTGGCTCAGTAATTCTCCATCTTGGCTGAACATGAGATTTCACCTGAGAAGTTTTTTAAACATCCTAATGCTGAGGTTGCATCGAACAGATTAAATCAGAATCTCTGATTTGATGGAATCCAAGTATCACTATTTATTAAAGCTCCTATGTGATTCTAATCTGCAGTCAAAATTGAGAATTACTGGTTTAGTTTTACAGCAAAGAATGAGAAAGGATATTCAGAGACTGGGAATTATGGAAGCAACAGTCAGAAAAGTGCAGGTGTAAAGAGGAAATAGCAAAGAGTCTTTTCAGGGTGACAGTAGGTAGGTAAGAAGATAAACTTGAAAAGCTCACATAAGACCTTTGATATGAGGTATGGAGTTTGAATTTAGGATTTTTAAACAAGGTAATGACTTGATGAGGATGTTAACCAACAATAATACTTCCACTTTGTTGAAACTCTGCTAAGTATCAAGCACTATGCTAGACACTTTAAAATATACTTTCTATTTTAATCCTCACAGTAACTTTGCAAAGTAGTATTTTTCTTTCCCTATTAACAGAAAGGGAAACTGAAATAGCTTGCCTGCAGACATAAGTAGGAAGAGAAAAGCCAGTATATCACACAGGTTAGCTAAAGCTCTTCTTAAGGATAATTACTCTGCAAGTAATTAGCATAGAGACTGAAGAACCTGTTAAAGGACAATTCCAATACTTCAATCAAAAGAATGGGTAGTGATGATGATTACACAATATGGTGAATGTAATTAATGTCACTGAATTTTACACATAAAAATGGTTGAAATGGCAAATGTGTTGTTACATATATTTCACTACAATTAAAAAAAAAAAGCCAAGGAAGGTTTGCAAGGGAGGATAAAAAAAAGATGGAAACTTGATACTAGGATAGTAGCAAGAGAATAAAGACTTATACATCTCTCTCCATGTTGTTTCATTTACAGTTGTCCCTTGATAACTGTGTATGGGGGGGAACTGGTTCCAGGACAACCCCCCATACCAAAATCCTCGATGTTTAAGTCTCACATAAAATGGTGTTGTATTTTCATATAACCTGCCCACACCCTCCTGTATGCTTTAAATCATCTTTAGATTACTTATAACACCTAATACAATGTAAACGCCATGTAAATAGCACTTTACACTCCCTATTAGCCTTTGAGGGATTGCTTTAACAATTTAATTGCTTTTTTTTTTTTTTTCAAAAAAACCTTTCAATCTGTGTTTGGTTGAATCCACAGATGCAGAACCTGTGGATACAGAGGGCCAGCTATATCCCTCCTCATACCTTACACTTACTCCAGCTTCCTGAACACAATTTCATATTTTCATGCTATTATTCAGCCTGCACTGACCTTCCCTCCCTTCTGTACCTATCAATATTCTACCCATTCTTCACTGCCCAGTTCAATGCCACCTCCTTTCTAAACTAAAACTCACTTCCCTCGAGTCAGATCTGACTCATAGCAATCTGTCCTTGGGTTTCCGAGGCAGTATCACTATGAAAGTAGATTGCCTAATCCTCCTTCCAAAGAGCAGCTGGTGGGTTTGAGCCACAAGCCTTCTGGTTAGCAGTAAAATGCCTTAGGCACTACACCACCAAAGCTTCTTTCTAAGACCTTCATTAATTCTATGCACCCTACAATCAAAATATCAAAATTAACTTTTTTTTTTAATTTGCTAATGCAGAATAAACAAGGCTTTTCCATCTCATCTCATGTAATGATTGGCATTTTTGTTTATCTCCCTGAACTCTTAAGATCAAAGACCTTGATGTTATTAACTTTTGCATTCTTCAGTGTCTAGCACATGTCATTGCACATAGTTGTTGATGTGTGCAGTTGAGTCTGAATCCTTTGTAGTAGGGGTCCTTTAAATGTTTGATGAAATGAAATGGAGTAATAGGAACAATATAGATTGTAAGAGTAGAGTTGACAGACCTTCACAACCAATGGGAGCTCTGGTAGCGTAATGCCTAAGGCACTTGACTGATAACCAGAAGGCTGGCAGTTCAAACCCACCAGCCACTCCTCAGAAGGAAGGTTGGGCAATCTACTTCCATAGTGATACTGCCTTGGAAACCCAAGGAGGGGTCGCTTTGAGTCAGGTCCAAATCCAAGGCACATAACAACAACAACAATCAAAACCAATTGGATGAGAAGAGCAAAAGGAGGAATCGGAGATAACAGGGTTTTGAGACAGTAGTATAGAAAATATAAAATGGAAACTCAGGAAAATGAGATTTAGGGGGAGTTTCATTTTGGGAATAGTAAGTTTTAGATGTTCTTAGCATATCTTCATGGAGATGACTATTGGTTAATTGGGAATGTAAGACTTCAACTTGGGAAACAGAGATAATTGAAACAAGAGGAGCTGTGAATAGAGCAGTAGGGAGAACTTTGTCAGGATGAGAGAGTTTCAAGAAAAAATGTAGCAGTGCTGTTTTCATAGAGGTCAGAGAGGAAGAGTACTACAAAAGGCTGTAGAATATGATGAGAAAACCTTTAATGACTTTTGAGAGGAGAATTTTAGCACAATTGGGTCATGATTCAGTGTTCTAGGAGCCAAGATGTAAATGGGAAGGAAGTTAAGGTAATGAGGAGGGGGATCCAGCTCTCTGGAGATGTTTATGGTGAAAGGAAAGAGAGAGGTTAGGAGAGTAGTATGGTCAGAAAAAGGTATTTTTGAGGTGGGGAAACTTGATTATATTAGTAAACCAAAAAGTAGCCAGTAGAGTGGAAGAGACTGAAGATATGAGAGGAGTGGGCTGCTGAAGGGTGTGGAGTCGCTGAGGAGGCAGAGGGGAGGGAAAAGCAAGGGAGAATAAAAAAGTAGAAGCCTTGCTCATGCTTGCATGGGGACAGTGGAGGCCATGGATGAAGGCTATGGATAGGGGACGAAGTCATATGCTCACTACAATCTGTCTTTCTGCCTTACAGGTGGAAAACTTCAATTCATGGTTCAGGGATGTGAGAACATGTGCCCATCAATGAACCTCTTCTCCCATGGAACTAGGATGCAAATCATATGCTGTCGGAATCAATCTTTCTGCAACAAGATCTAAAAGCCTGTGTGCCCTTCCCTCCCTTGCTTCTTGCTCTGACTCAGGCAGCAAAAGGCCTCCTCCATCATCCTCCTGAGCACAATTTAAATTTTTTTTTTTTCCCTAGTCAACAACTAATCACATCTGCCTCTGCCTGAGTCCTAGACAGGATGCTTAAATAAGAAATAAGAAGCCCTCATTTATCTCATCTTCCTACTCTCATTCATTCCCTGTTGTCCACTCTTCTCTCTCCTCCATATTCCCTACTCCCCCTGCTCCATCTCCCAACATTTCTTTTCAATAAATTATGCATGGTTAAAGAATACAGACTCCAGATAAGATTTTTTTCCTATCAGTTTCAGGATTAGTCTGAGCTTCCTTATATCTAACATACTAAAGTAGATGCATTTTGAAACCATTCCATATTAGTGAAAGTGAATGGTTTCCTAGGGCAAAGACAACAAAGAGGAACAGAATGTGGCTGAATCTTTTACAAGGATCAAATAATATTGCAGGTCATTCTCTCTGATCCCCACCTTCCATGCTTACTTTTCCTCATGCTTTACACTAATTGTGTGTCCAAAATCCACCCTTCTTTGGCTCTTCACAGTTTTTAGTGAATAGTCCACTCTTAACATGAAAAAAAGATTTCTTACATATTTATTTATTTGCTAAGTAGATAGCAGTTCATAATGCTTATATTTTTTTTTTCTCACACAGTTATTGGATCATCTGCTCACCATAAAGGGGCAGGTGGAAATACTATAATAATCCTTATATTAGTGTTATATTCTTCAAGGTGTTGTCACATATATATCATCTGATCCTCAGAAAATAGCCTAGAAGAGTAGATAGGAAATATATCATTATCCTTATTTTATAAATAAGAAAATATGACATAGGGATGTTTTATTTATTTGTAACTTACTGTGTTACAAACTTGGTTACAGAGCTAAGAGAGAGCCATGGCTAGATTTAAAAAACAAATCTGCATGATCTCAATCTGAGCTGTTTTTACCACATTATGAATATTAGCTGGAATGGTTCTTTCAAGCCTCTCCTGCTATACAAGCCCATCTTCTTTTAGCAATGATTCCCACATGCCTCTATTTGAAGTCTCTTGAGATCAGCTGGGTGGCCCTAAAGTATCTTCTGCAGAAGTCCAATTCATCAATTTTTCTCTTTTAGCGCTTTTGGTTTTATGTCTAACTCTTAGAACTCTATACCAAGAAAAAAGCAACTTTACCATATGTAAAATTTCTTAATAGTTGAAGTATATATACATTATGACCTCTCCCCAAAAAAACACCAAAAACATGTTGGTAACAGATTCCTAATTGGCAATATTGAGTACACATTTCTCCAAATATTATAGATTGAAGACAATGGAACCTATCTTCAAATTTCTGAAGGAAAATTATTCTTAACAATAATCCTATTCCTAAATAAACAACATTCAACCTGAGGTATGGTTTACAGGGGGAAGAAGAGAAATAACATTCTTGATACTTTTTTTTTTTTTTTGGAGGGATAAATCTATTGGCTATAGGAGTTAGGAAGCTCTGGTGGCATAGTGCCTAAGGCATTTGACTGCTAACCAGAAGGCTGGGAATTCAAACCCACCAGTCACTCCTTGAAAGGAAGACTGGGCAATCTACTTTCATAGAGATATGCCTCAGAAACCCAAGGAGGCGTCACTATGAGTTGCATTCGACTTGGCAGGGGTAAATGTATGTTCAAGTATGTTGTTAAAATTTAAGGGTAGGGAGGTTCTGGCTTCAAGTAATGGTGGAGTAGTTTGGCTGAACTAGCCTTCATGCTCCTTGGAAGCAAGAATGGCCAGACTTCATGTCACTTGTTTTAGTCATGTTGTTAGAAGGGATCACTCCTTGAAGAAGGATATCATGTTTGGTAAAGAGGAAGGTCAGCAAAAAAAGGGAAGGCCTTCAACAAGATGGATTGACATGGTAGCTCCAACGATGGGCTCAGATATAGCAAGTATTGTACATAGGGTCGCTATGAGTTGGAGCCGACTCAACGGCACCTAACAACAACAACAACCTTCATGCCTATAACAACTATAAACTCTGGAAAAAATAAGAGCAACAACTTTAAAAACCCTAAAAAATCTAGAAAGAAGTCACCCTTAAAAGACTGCAATAGCACTGGGTATGGTTTGCATATTGGTGGCTTTATATCTGAGGGTACTTCCCAATCCATGTATTCAAGGATGGCAAAAAATCACCAACTGGTTTGAAGTTTCAGAGGAAATAGATTGGGGCTGCAAGGGGAGCTATAAAGTTAGGGGAGGACCCTGGAAAGAAGGAAATAACAAAGGGCATAATAAAAATTTGAAATATAAAGTCTAACCAATTCATGGCTGACCACTGACTCCAAAAGCCTTAGCAATGATAGTGGCTGGAAGCTGAAAGAACTGAGCATAAATAGCTGCTTTGCACTTCAGAGAAGACAGAGTTAAAAGTTAAAGTCCACCCACATTCAGTGCCTACTAGAACAAAAGTCAAATCCAATCACAACCTTTTCTCCCTTGAAACCTTGCAGTAGCTTCCTGTCTAAGGCTAGGTTCTCTACAGAAGCAAAATCAGTAAAGCTTAGAGAGAGAGAGAGGAATTTATCTCAGGGAAATGGCTCACACAGTTGTAGAGGCTGGCAAGTCCCAACTTCCTGGGTCAAACGTCAAGCTGGAGGCTTTTCTCGACTCCCACACAACTGCAGAGGATTGACAAACCCAAGATCAGCAGGAAGTATAGCAGGCTGTTGGGTTTGGCAGATGATAAATCCAAGATCAGCAGGTAAAATGGTGGATTGTTGGCTCACAGGACAGTTACAGAGATTGACAAGTCCCAAGTTCTTGGGTCAAACATCAAGCTGGATGTTTGTTCTGACTCACACAGCTGCAGAGGCTGATGAACCCAAGAATGGCTTGCATTAAGGCAGAATCCAAATCCAACAGAAAGTTTCAGAATTTTCCAAGGACAACCATATATATATTGGAAGCAGTCCACACCCTTAAGGAAACTCCCTTTCAACTGACTGGCTGCTCAGGGCACATCCAATCATGGAAGTGACTACTTTACATCAGATCTCATCATGGGAATGACCACACCACAGCTGCTTAACCACTGAGAATCATGGTCCAGCCAAGATGACATAGAACCTTAACTATCACAACACATGATAGTGAAATTACTGAAATTCAAAAAGAAAGAGAAAAACTTGAAATTTGCTAAAAGGGAATACTGATACAAATGTTGGCTGACTTT